GATGAAACTAGCGTTAGAGTGGCTATCGAGCAAGTTTTATCGGAATGACACTGTATTTCTTCACTGCTCTTTTCCCGACTGGTTTCGCAAAGAGTTTGATCTATCAATTGGCTCCTCTTCGTCGTCGCTCTGTTAGTACGTCATATGCTTCGTTGATCTGATTGGTTTATTTGGCCCGTCTATCACCAACATAGGCCAATCAGCTAACCAGTATTTTCGCCCCTTCCCAAAATTACTTCTACGGAAGGTTTCCAGATGGATATGTGGAGCAAATCCATCTGGCGGAGTCAGGTTAACTTCATAATGCACTTATGACAAAGTCGGTACTTGTACTTGTTAGGTTATTACCACCTTAAAGGAAATTACTGAACAGGTACAGCAGTTGTTGATAAGAAGGACATCGCTCCCTAACATCTCAATTCCGGCTCAACTGATACAGGTTTTTAATTGATTATCTGTATTTTAAAATGTAAAATACTCCAAATGATTTAATCTGAACTGGATTAGTCAAAGGATATATTTTGTAATACATAGTTTAAGATTTAGAGAGGAAGAGGAAATTTAGCTACAAAATACTGCCAAAAGTATGAGGTCACCACTCCCAATCAAAGCATGGAGGCAGCCAGACTGTAGGAGGTCAGTGTGGCCCTGTTATAAGGTGCCAAGTGATAAAATATCCAGTTGTGAAATTTCCTTGTGAGCAAATACTCCAATGCTAGGTTTTGGTACCATTTTGCAGAATAATAGGTGAATAGGAATGACAGCAACTTATCCTCCAAGTGGTAGTCCAGATAAAATTATGACACTGTGGGCAGAGCTAGAGGATAGCTACAGGTCTTCAAATGTTAAAAGACCTTTAGATTAGCTCACAGACGGTACATAGTGAGCATTAACCCCCAATTTACACTTTGTGTCCACCCTCTAATATAGATGATGTCCGCTCCATTGCAGTGCAAAGCCCACAGGCGCTCCAAGGAACATGTGCAGATCACGCATTAAAAGCCTGTCAGCATCGATTTAAAACGCTAAAACTTTTTCATCTTTTTTTTTTTTTTTTTTCAGGAGTTTTTATTCCACAAATAAAAACTGAATGCAGAGAACCTGTGTTGTTTTTATTTGTGTATTTCAATTGTTGATTATTTATGTATAGTAATATAGGCTGCCCAGTATTAGATCTAATGTGCGTAGTTGATAATATACACACATATATAAAAATATTTGTAAATTTTAAAGAAAATATAACCATCTGTAGTAAAAATCTGGATGTTGTTAATCTTCTTTTTATGGATGGATCGATGTGATTTCTGATATTTACTGTGATGTCGGGCAAAAATAGTTTTGAATCGAATTTTTACAGGCACGCCGTCCACTCCTCGCTGTTTACTGAGGATCAACTCTGCCATATTTAAAAATAAATACAGAACTTAATTAATTGCTCAATAAATAAATAAGCATACAATTAATGGTCCCCAAAAATACAATAAACAAATAAATGTGGGTAGAAATTAAATAATACAGCGAGACATAAATTTTTTTTCCTTTTTTAAATAGCTTCTTTTCTCTATTCGCCTTTGTAATAACTACTTTATTTATATATTGTCCATTATAATTTTCAACCTTATTCATTAATTACTTATTTTTTTTTATGTATTTATTTATACCCATTGGTTGGTTAGCATTTAAATAAATAACACAAAAATAAAGCAGACAAAATATTGTAACATGCACATAAATCAATAAGGTTATTATTACAAAGAAGCTAACCAAGAGATATATACATTTATGTTTTACTGTATTATTTCACCGTTCACCGGGTTTACCCCGGTGAACGAGAGGGTAGCCTCCCTCCGCCTACGGGTGGGGGGACGGGTTCTGACTGTTGTCTGTGCTTACGGGCCGAACAACAGTTCAGATTACCCACCCTTCTTGGAGTCCTTAGAGGGGGTACTGGAGGGTGCCCCTCCTGGGGATTCCCTTGTTCTGCTGGGAGACTTCAGCGCTCACGTGGGCAATGACAGTGAGACCTGGAGGGGCGTGGTTGGGAGGAATGGCCGCCCTGATCTGAACTCGAGTGGTGTTCTGTTGTTGGACTTCTCTGCTCGTCATGGATTGTCCATAACGAACACCATGTTTGAGCATAAGGGTGTCCATATGTGCACATGGCACCAGGACACCCTAGGCCGCAGTTCGATGATCGACTTTGTCATCGTTTCATCGGACTTGCGGCCGTATGTCTTGGACACTCGGGTGAAGAGAGGTGCTGAGCTTTCCACTGACCACTACCTGGTGGTGAGTTGGCTCCGGTGGTGGGGGAGGATGCCGGTCAGACCTGGCAGGCCCAAACGTGTTGTGAGGGTCTGCTGGGAACGTCTGGCAGAGTCCCCTGTTAGGCGGAGCTTTAACTCCCATCTCCGGCAGAACTTCGAACACATCCCGGGGGAGGTGGGGGACATTGAGTCCGGGTGGACCATGTTCCGTTCCTCCATTGTCGAGGCAGCTTATCTGAGCTGCGGCCGCAAGGTTGTCGGTGCCTGTCGTGGCGGCAACCCTCGAACCCGTTGGTGGACACCTCCGGTGAGGGATGCTGTCAGGTTGAAGAGGGAGGCCTATCGAGCCTTTTTGGCCTGTGGGACTCTGGAATCAGCTGATGGGTACCGGCGGGCGAAGCGGCATGCGGCTCGGATGGTTGCTGAGGCAAAAACTCGGGTGTGGGAGGAGTTTGGAGAGGCCATGGAGAAAGACTTCCGTACGGCTCCGAAGCGATTCTGGTACGCCATCCGGCGTCTCAGGAGGGGGAAGCAGTGCAGCACCAACACTGTTTATAGTGGGGATGGTGTGCTGCTGACCTCGACTCGGGACGTTGTGGGTCGGTGGGCGGAATACTTCGAAGACCTCCTCAATCCCACCAACATGTCTTCCATTGAGGAAGCTGGGCCTGGGGACTCTGGACTGGGCTCTCCAATCTCTGTGGGCGAGGTCGCCGAGGTGGTTAAAAAGCTCCTCGGTGGCAGGGCCCCGGGGGTGGATGAGATCCGCCCGGAGTTCCTGAAGGTCCTGGATGTTGTAGGGTTGTGTTGGCTGACACGACTCTTCAACATTGCATGGACATCGGGGGCAGTCCCCCTGGATTGGCAGACTGGGGTGGTGGTCCCCCTGTTCAAAAAGGGGGACCGGAGGGTGTGCTCCAATTACAGGGGAGTCACACTCTTAAGCCTCCTCGGCAAGGTCTATTCGGGGGTGCTGGAGAGGAGGGTCCGTCGGATAGTCGAACCTCGGATTCAGGAAGAGCAGTGTGGTTTCCGTCCTGGTCGTGGAACGCTGGACCAGCTCTACACCCTCAGCAGGGTCCTGGAGGGTGCATGGGAGTTCGCCCAACCAGTCTACATGTGTTTTGTGGACTTGGAGAAGGCGTTCGACCGTGTCCCTCGGGGGGCCCTGTGGGGGGTTCTCTGGGAATACGGGGTGCCAGGCCCTTTGATACGGGCTGTCAGGTCCCTGTATGACCGGTGTCAGAGTTTGGTCCGCATTGCCGGCAGTAAGTCGGGCTCGTTTCCGGTGAGAGTTGGACTTCGCCAGGGCTGCCCTTTGTCACCGATACTGTTCATTACCTTCATGGACAGAATTTCTAGGCGCAGCCAAGGTGTTGAGGGGATCCGTTTTGGTGGCCTTAGGATTGCGTCTCTGCTTTTTGCAGATGATGTGGTCCTATTGGCTTCATCAGGTCGTGATCTGCAGCTCTCGCTGGATCGGTTCGCAGCCGAGTGTGAAGCGGCCGGGATGGGGATCAGTGCCTCCAAATCCGAGGCCATGGTCTTGAGCCGGAAAAGGGTAGAGTGCCTTCTCCGGGTCAGGGGGGGTGTCCTGCCCCAAGTGGAGGAGTTTAAATATCTGGGGATCTTGTTCACGAATGAGGGAAGAAGGGAGCGGGAGATCGACAGGCGGATTGGTGCAGCGTCTGCCGTGAAGCGGTCGCTGTACCGGTCCGTCGTGGTGAAGAGAGAGCTGAGTCAAAAAGCGAAGCTCTCGATTTACCGGTCGATCTACGTTCCTACCCTCATCTATGGTCATGAACTCTGGGTCATGACCGAAAGAACGAGATTGCGGATACAAGCGGCCGAAATGGGTTTCCTCCGTAGGGTGGCTGGGCTCTCCCTTAGAGATAGGGTGAGAAGCTCGGTCATCCGGGAGGGACTCGGAGTAGAGCTGCTGCTCCTCCACGTCGAGAGGAGCCAGTTGAGGTGGCTTGGGCATCTGTTTAGGATGCCTCCTGGACGCCTCCCTGGTGAGGTGTTCCGGGCACGTCCCACCGGGGGGAGGCCCCAGGGAAGACCCAGGACACGCTGGAGAGACTATGTTTCTCGGCTGGCCTGGGAACGCCTTGGGGTTCCTCCTGAAGAGCTGGAAGAAGTGGCTGGGGAGAGGGAAGTCTGGGCCTCCCTTCTTAAGCTGCTGCCCCCGCGACCCGACCCCGGATAAGCAGAGGAAGATGGATGGATGGATGGATGGATGTATTATTTTAACTTACATTTGTTTGTTTATTGTATTTTTGGGGGTAATTAATTGTATGCTTATTTATTTATCGAGCATTTATTTATTTCTGTATTTATTATTAGATATAGTATAGCTGGTGCTCCATAGATGTTGTTCCAAGACACTAAATGCTTCTATTGATTATAACAGTTGTGTATTTGGTGAGGAAAGATCTCTCAGTGTTTGGTCCTGTTTTCAATCTGATTCAGAGCAGACGAACTGAACTGGATTTCTCATCAAACATCAGTTTCTGACCTAAGAATTTTTTTTCTGGAAAGCTGAAAGGGAGGCAGGAAAAATGTTAAACCCTTTTGATTAAATCACTCAGATTCCAAGGTTTGTAAACACATAGCAACACATACCTTCGGCAATATAGTGTAAGTTTTTAAGTTTTCAAACCGAGGACTTAGTGGGTGAGGTTCTGCATGGAAGGAGGCTCCAGTTATATAGGAACCACCACTGCTCTAAAGTCTACAGCCTATAACGACTTTAGCTCTGTGCTGGTCATGTAATATAAAACTAGAAGAAAAGTAAAGAAATCTGAATTATTAAACTCAGTGTGCTGCTCTGTCTTTTAAGCATCCTAATTCACGAAACAATAACCTGGAAAAAAAGGAACCATGTAGTGAAACAGGCAGAGCATCCTCTCTGGATAAGCCACCTGGAAGAAAAAAACAACCAACCAGGCGAACAGTTTCTCTTCTGGCAAATTTGCCACTGCAGCATAATGGTTCCCCACGGCTTCTGTGCCTATGTTCTGTTGGCAGCTGTATGGAAGAAGTTCACACATTGTTGCTTTCCACTGTTTGGTGCACAGCTGCTCCTAGCAAAGTGTTAGTTTCAATAACCAGGGGCCAGCTGAGAGCTTAGGTGAGCAAAACAAATTAATAGTCTTAGGAGATCTGGCCGGCTGGGAGTTGCTGGGAGTTTTCGCCGTAGTCCCTCTCCGAATGGTGTTTAGTAAGGTCACATGGCATGAGAGGGAGGGGCTGCCTCTGCTCAGCCAGCACTGCCTCGTAAGGTGGTGCTGCCTCCAGGGGGAAGGAAATAGATGCAACGTGTTGCTGCTCCCCCTCATGCAGTCCCAGGGAATAGTGGGAGGAGGAGGAGGAGGTGGAGGAAGGCCAGGCAGCGCTGGCTGACGTCTCCCCACAGCGCTGGGAGGCATCTGGACCGGAGTGTGTGGGATTCTGTTCTGGCTCGGCCAGGCTCTGACAGGGGTCCAGCAGGGAGTAGGGAGGCGGGTCATCGGTTGGGATGTAGATCTGAGTGGAATCTGGTCCGACACACTCCTCATAGCTGTGGAGACAAGTCAGAGGGTGAGTTAGTAGAAATGCGGGGGGAGGGCGGACATAAAAATAGGAGTTAAAATACAGTGTGTTATAGCTTTCAAAACATTTCCACAAGGAAAGAGATCAAACTTTAGGCTGATATACCAACACAGAGAGATGAAGGTGAAAGACTTCTCCTCTGTGATGAATGGTAGTGGCAGCACCATGCTGTGGGGCTGCTTATTCATTAACAAGGACAGTAGAACTGGTTAGAGTTGTTGGAAAAAAAAACTAAAAATGAGGCAATTTTAGAAGGAAACCTGAAAAAAAGCTGCAAAGGTCTCAACCATGTGCTCAAAGAAGAAAAGTGGATTGGAGATTGGAGCGTGGCTCGCATGCACACACAAAAAAAAAATGATATTACCCCTTTGAATTTTTTCCAACCTGGGATCCTTTTTCTAAAAATCATCATTTAGGTTCTCCAAACACGGCAGATCTCTTGGATCCCTCTATATCAACAGGATTCTTTCTGCCAAAAACCTTATTCCACTAGAAGTATTTTCAGATTGGAGCCATCAAGTGGAAAGGTTGTTATTTGCAGAGACGACAAATTACCTTCAATAGTACATTTCCTCTCATCTCCATGAGGACAGAGCCCGACTCTTCCTAAAAAGTCGCAATGAATCGATAAACCCTAACCAGAATGTGGCAAATAACCCAATACCATAGTGAAGATCCTTTTGGTAAACTTTATAAACACTTATAGAGAGATTAAACAAGCTAACTTACTGTACATTCCTCATTAGCTAAAGCTTTGAAACTTCAGAAATGTGTCCAAACATTGCACAAACTAAATCTTTGATATTTAAACTGCAGTATTTGCATTAATGTATTACCAAACCATCCAGGGCATTAGAGTTAATAAAAAGCTAAGATAAAAAAAAACATATACAGATATGGGAGAGTTTACTTGACAATTAAAACCAAACAAGCTCTACTGTAATTCTGTCACATCTCACATTTCTTTGGATGTAAAAATGACGTTTCTAGCCAGAGTTCAAGCCAGCTGTTCAAAACCCTTCTCCTTGAGATTAGGGGCCTTGCATATTTTAAAAGTACCTCTGCAGCTGAAAACCCTGATTCAAATGTTTTAGCAAATGACTCGCATGTTTAAATGTTTAAACGGGTGTAGAAGGACAGTTTTTCCTCCTGTAGCAGCTCAAGAGATTTATATGTCAAAGTTTACAGGAAAACAGGTCCTTTAAAACTAAATAAAGCAGAAAATAATTAAATTGAAAGATAAATGTGTTGTGTTGTGTCTGTTTGGCAAGAGGTGGATTAGGATGGGTTATAAAGAAGCTATTATGGGGAGTCACTCAATCAGTACAGTGGGTAACTGGATTACTGTGGTACTACTGATGCAAACATCTTCTTTCTTTCTTTCTTTCTTTCTTTCTTACTTTCTTTCTTTCTTTCTTTCTTTCTTTCTTTCTTTCTTTCTTTCTTTCTTTCTTTCTTTCAGTTATTGCTGCTGAATAATTATGCACTTTTTATGAAAAAAAAAACATGTCCAAATTAAATAAATAGTAAAATAAAAACTATTTAAACATACATTTTGATCACTAAAGTAAAGGAAAATGTGAGAATATGAGCTGAAAGGTCATCATTTAATGAGTGCACACCAGCTCAACCCCTCCGCTCCACATGAAGGACATGAAGGACATGCTATGGTTGTGTTTTTAACAAGGAAAATCATTTTCTTTTTATTGTTTGCAAAATAACTACGACAGAACTCTCCTGACTGAATCAGGAAATAAAACAAAATGATCGGCTTCAAGGAGGATGGAGACAGACCTGCTCCTGACCAGGTTAACCTTAGAGAGAATCTTACCATGTTAATAGAAACTGAGGCTAAGTAAAATCTCTTTATGAAACTGAAAACTCAGAGTTTGCCTGATTTCAGGTTTTAAAAGACTTTGTGTTTTTCAGAAATCAGATTTTTTAAACGGGCCCCAGGACAACTCTCAATCTCCACAATGTCGGTTGAGTTTCTACTGTTTCTCATTTGCATCATGTGCAGTCATACAATGGGAAAAAAAAAAACAACACAAGTAGTTGGTTATAAAAAGTACGGTGGCCCTGAAGTGCAAACTTCAACTACAAATCTAAAAGCGCAACTACATTAAGGAAATCGTAACTACATAAAGCAAAGCGAAACTACATTAAGGAAAACAAAACTACATAAAGCAAAGCGCAACTACATTAAGGAAAACACAATTACATTAACCTACCGGAAAAGGTAGGTACCAGTGGGAAACATGAGACATCGCTGATTGGACGACGGCGCAGTTTGACCGTTGAACCAGAAGTTGCGTCAGCTGAACAGTCCAGCTTCTTTTAAGTGTGTCTTCAGTGTACGCAAACTAACTGAAATTTCGTGATTAGTCTTGAGCATATCCAGTATCACCTCGTACGTATGTCCTGATTCAAAATATTCCTGGATAACGGCAGCTATGTTTGGGGCGCCGACAATATCCATGTTTTCAAAAGCCGCAGTAGGCAGAATGACTTCCGGTTCAAGGGTCAAACGGCGCCGTCGTCCAATAGGCGATGTCTCATGTTTCCCACTGGTACCTACCTTTTCTGGTAGGTTAATGTAATTGTGTTTTCCTTAATGTAGTTGCGCTTTGCTTTATGTAGTTTTGTTTTCCTTAATGTAGTTGCGCTTTGCTTTATGTAGTTTTGTTTTTCTTAATGTAGTTGCGCTTTTAGATTTGTAGTTGCAGTTTGCACTCCAGGGCCACTGTAGAAAAGCTTTCTATGTAGACTAATTAATCACAGTAACAGATTGTGAATTGAGTTGAGAATTGAAGATGTCGGAAAAGTGTGCAGCAGCTAAGCTGAGGTGCTAAAGCACTTTGTAATCCCTGCTGTCTTTGGTCTCTTAGGAGTTACATGATCCTCAGCTTTCACAGCACATTTCTGCTGCCTGGACCTGTAAAAGGCGTATCACCTAATTATGAATCTGATGTCTGCACTTATTTGCACCTCCTGTTATCACATACGGCCCGTTAAAATTAATTTGGACCTCAGCTTTTACACACTGGGATTCACACAAATTAAGCAACTCCATGTAATCTCTATAAACTGGAGCTGCTCCTCTCTTTCCCACATGACCTACCTCACGTTCTTCAGATCAAATCAGACACACACAGGTGGTCCATTCAAAATGTTTTTTTTTTTTTTTTTTAAATAACACAACAATTGGTTGTTGATTTAATTTATTGGAAAACACCAGGAATTAATTTAGATTTTCAAACATCCACCACAGTAAAGGAGGCAGGACTAGGGCTGCTTCCATGGAAACCCTGATGTTTGATTGGCTGTTTTTCACTGAGCAAGACAAGACAACTTCCTGTATCATTACCAGTGGATATCAAACATCTATCCCAAACCTAAACTTAACACACCATATTTTCTAAACATAACCCCAAAAGAAAAAGAAAAAAAAAGGGTTTATATTATCGCTCTCAAACAAAAGGTTCCCATTTTGCTAGTAAAATGCAGCAAGAACAAGAACAAACCCACACACACCATACATGTGTTCATCTGGCTATATGCAGTTGTACTTTGTATTGACTCTCATCAACTTACTTCGAGTTTTAGACATTTTAATGCCCTAACCCTGACACTAATTCTATACAAATAAATAGATATGGGATAAATAACCCTAGTGTTTACCTAAACTCAACTAACCTACCAATTAGGAGAAGCAAAAAGTCAATTTCATGGTAAAATTGTGAAAGAATTGTACTTAATCTGGTGCCAAAACAGTAGCACACACGCACAGAGAGACGTGTGGCCAGCTTTTCCCTGAGAGGAAGCAGAAGCTTTCAGCCTCCACAGGTGAGCTACTGATCCATGAGTGTGAGTAAGTTTGAAGTGACAGAGAGAGAAAGAGAGGATACTAACCTTCTGAGGACCTACAGGCCTTACAGAGACCAAAGGTTGGTCCAAATGATGCAAAACCCAATTTTAAACCTAGGATTTGCTTAAGAATATACTCAAGCAAAGCAATTAGGGGTGAAATGCAGTAACTGAAATAAATGTTGGTGTAAAACGTGTGTGTGTTTGGGTGTATGTGCGTTTGTGTGTGTGGATTTTAACGTACGCGTGATCTCTATGATCCCAGGTAACCGGGTGTGTTTGTGTTAGAAAGCATTAATGTTCACAGTCTCAGTAGGTAAGCTGTTGATCTGAGTTCACCAAGATTTCCTCCACCATCTGTGTCCCGTTCACACACAAACACACACACACATACTGGTTCTGCCATTGTAGTAAGGACTCCTATTGACTTCCATTGATTTTCAGTCATTTTCAAACCTTTCTATGCCGTAACCCTAAAACTAACCCTAAACCTAACCATTACCAATGCATACCGCACTCTAACCCTAACCTATTGACACCTTAGCCCTAAACCTAACCATTAGCAAAATAGCATATGAGGACCGGCAAAATGTCCTCACTTTGCAGCAGCTGGTCCTCAATCTCATGGTGAAATTGGGAAAAAGGTCCTCACTCTGAGGGCTAGACACGCACATCGCAACTCAGCTACCACCTTAGGCATAAACCTAACAGTTAGCAGAAAAGGAAGAGTTCTCACTAAATGTTCTCATATTGATACAAATGTCATTAATTTAAAGCTAAAACAGGAGCACACACTCTGCAGGAGGATCACATGACCGCAGCATTTACTGCGTCGCAAACAACAACTTGCCAGATCTGTGATAAACAAATCGTGTTGCTTCTATGTATATATGCATATGTTTAGTTGTTGGCTGCCTTCCTCTCATCCTCTCACACAGGCGGTCCAGAATGTTCTGATTTCCTGCCAAGACCTCTGACGTACTTTAATTTCCCTCTTCTGTTTCTTTCCTTTATTCCTGTTTGCATTTGTGGAAAATTGTATTCATGTTTCTGAGAAAACAGCTGAAGTAGGAAGAGCACAAACTTTATGAACTGGAATTGCTTGCATCAAACCCTGGTGCTACCAGGTGCATCCCCCTCAAATGATGATCTATTTGCCCTGCAGGAGGATGGATTTGTCTGACTTGCAAAGATAACCGCAAGAACATGAAAAAGAGCTCCAGCTTAATCCCCAGATCCCAACCTGAGCACAGACCCTGCTCCTCAAATTCAGCGTGATGAATGCACATAGGACAGGCCAATGTTGTGGAATCAGCATGAATCGGGATCCATATGGTGCACTTCTTTTCACTGCTGAGTCTGCTAAAACGTCAGAGAAAATCCAATGGAAGAGGGGGAAGTAAAAGATGCTGTCCAAACCTGTTTTTTTTTTCTTTTTAACCAGGAATCTAAAAAAAAATAAATGTCAAACTCTTTTTATCTGTTTGACCATACATTTAAATGTTGTGTAGGCTTTTCTGGAAGCATAGAAACTCTAGTTTGAAACCCACATTATAAAGATAACAGGATATTAGCTATCATTACAGCGTTTGAATTAAGGACGTAGCATCGGGCCTCAGACAGAAACATTTGGATTTAACGAGTGAATATTTAGGGCGGTGCAAAGAAGGGGAGGCTCACTGCAGGGAAGGGATTTATGTGAATTATTAAAGTTGCCAATTAGACCAGCTGACATTTAGATCAAAAATGCCATGACACTGGCTTTTAGCAAACTTTCTATCTCCTCCTTCCTCACCAATTCTCTCAAAGGGCAGCAAAGCAGAGACTCCTCCATGAAAAGGAAGACAGCTCAAACTGATGAAAGAGTGGGGTGCACTGCATGAATGCACTCTCACTATTCACCCTTTATAAGGTAATATATTGTCAAAACTATTTCCTTATCCACCAAAAAAAACTAAAATAAAATGTTTCAATCCCTTCCCTTTCTAAAAACTTCTGTTTTTTGTTTTTGTTTGAATTTTACTTTATAAAATGTTTGAAAATGAGAGATTTTTACAATTTAAGAGAAAATGTTGCATGAAAAGTAAGAATATAAAATACAATGATATATATATATATATATATATATTTTTTTTTTTACCAGAGACATACAATAAGTAAAAAAAAGTGCCTTTAGCTTTCGTATTTAATCAGAATGTGGATTGTTTTGCTGGTAAATCTTAATTTTCTCAGTTCATGATGCTGTTCATCCATAAACTGACCGTAGAACATGAGCATCTATTCCCTCATCAACTAAAAGGTCCAATAAATAAGAAGATTGTAGGTTTTATGGAAGTAGCTTGTTTAATCAATAAAATAAATAAAATTAAAATTATTGTTGCAAATCTGGGGAAGTGTAACATTCCATTTTTATTAAAGATGTAATAAAAGACAACTCTGACCTAAAGTGGGTGATTAAAAAATGCTCATAAATGGGAATCAGAGGTCATTCATTGTACTGAGATCACCTATAACCATTCAGGTAGATGTCAGGTTGTGGGAAAAAAGGCGTTAATCTGTTAAAACTGTGCAATGCTAGTTGATAGTACAAGAGTACTCCAACATCAGATAGTTTTCATTACTTTTCTTGAGTGAAGAGAATTAGCATTGCCTGGAACAGAGGTGCAAAGCTAAGGAGGGACAGCTGGACTGGTCCATCCAAACATAGCCTGTTGGAAAAGATTTTTCTGTCAAACCGCTTTGAGCAGAAAATGCCTGAATTTGCTGGAGAAGTTAAGAGAAGTTAAGTCAGAGGGCCTGATAGACTACAGATGAAGGAGGACCTTGAAGGGAGATAATGTTTTCATGCCTGTTAGTGGATCTAATATAAAAAGCTCAAAAAAGAAAAGGCTGTCATCAGACAGTTCAGCCTCACAGGTAAGAAATGGTTCTTGTAACCTTAGATATCGGTACTTATTGTTTGATTAAAGTAAGAGATCTGTTCCAAAAGCCAATCATTATCAGAAAATCCACTAGAAACCAGTTCTGATCATAGGCTGTATTGTAATTTTAAAGCTAAAAACTGTACCTTAACTTAATGTTTCTATAGTGTACTTAATTATTGAATGAAGTTAATAAAAACACAAACACAGACTAAAAGGTAAATGTATTGGACAGAAATCAGGAAGTGTCTTCTAGGTCTACGTACTTAATGGTAGCTGATTTTCCTTTGGATATTTAAATATTATTGATATTGATGTTCTAAATAAATTTTAAAAAATCGGTTATTTCATTTTCAGCAGTATTTTTAACTAATTTAATTTTGGATTTAGTGTCCAAGACTTGTCCATGGCCGGTCATGCCTTGGAAGCTGTCCCTATTATCATTGCAAGCGATCTACTAGTCTCTTTTGTCCTTAATAAAATCAGCAAACTCATGCAATTCCATTGTGTCTGCATTGAAAGTTTATTCAAGTGATTTTAAAGCAACACTTGTGTGTTACGTACAGCTTCCTATGTACCCTGTATGTGTCTCAAACACAGAGATCTGCACCCTAAAGGTTGCTCTGCTCCCAGTGACAGCTGACCTTCTTATTATGACTCTACTTCGTCTTCGTCTCTCTCTGATATTGACGGAAGTGTCGTCAGCCACTGTAAAAGCAGTCTATTTACATAATGATGTGCCCCTTTTTACATCAAAACGATGCAATAAAAAGAAAAAAATTCAAAAATTTGTCAAAAAGTACCTTTTTAACAAAGATTTCATTTCAGTAGACAGACATTTATTTCAGCAGAACTTATTCAGTTATTTGGACATATGCATAATGAGAGAAGGATCTCACAAGTGCTTTAATACAGAAGAAACATTTCTTAGGAACTTCAAATGCAGGTTTGCTATAAATGGCTGCCATGATGGAAATCTATTGCTGGTCACTTAGCTGTTTGGTTTTGCAATGTGTTTGTTTACTTTACTAAAAAATAAGTAGTTCTAGAGGAGAATTAAAGCACTTTAAAAAGATCTTGGCTCTGAACAAGATTGTTACTCATGAGTTCAATTATTATATCTAACAGTTCTGCCTATATGTTTAACCTAAGCTGATAACTGTTGGTGCACATCTAGATGCATCTCGATGCAGTGGAAGGTTATTGCACCTTTTCAGTACTTTGAATCACAGTGTTATGTTGTATGTATAATACATATTCACTGTCCCTGTACTGTAGTACTTACCGTGGTGGAGAGTCCTGATACAGGTTGCTAATCTGTGGAAGATTCTCCCCAAAGGAGTCAATGTCTAAACCAGGAGAAAAGTCCTCTACACAGCTGGACCTCAGTTCCCCCGCAGAGCCCCCGTAGGAAAAACCATCTTGCCCTGGAAACAAAAAGATAAATATTTTATTTTATAGCGGAATCAGCTGCCTTAAATGCTTTCATTTCATCTTACATTTAACGCTCTGAAATGTCTGAAAACTGACCATAGCTGGCGCGAAAGTGTGGGTTTCTGAGTCGACTGTCTTTGCGTAAGCTGCCGATGATGATGGTGATGCAGGAGAGGAAGAGGACCAGTCCTATAACAATCCCAGCCACCACCAGAGGAGACACCAGGAGAGACGCCTCCCCTCCTGATTCCCTCTCACTCCGACAGTCTGGATACTCCCCATGGCTCTGGTTGGAGCTCACTGCAGGGAGGCAGACAGAGATGGAAAAGGTCAGACATGAGAGGATGGGAATGGTCTGGTTTGTTGCTTTTAAAGACCGTGAGGACAAAAGAGACATTTATCATAGTAGTACATTTTAGACATTTTGGAACCATTAGCCAAATGGGAAAATACAAAATATAGAGAAATTCAGAGATGCAATAAACACTTGTGTTTGAAAAAACAACTTCTTGCTCTGATTTTATGATTGATAATCTCCTGAGAAATCTACCAACTGTTTACTTTAGTGCAGCTGATGACAGTTCAGCAGAGTCTAGCTATAAAGTCATAGGGAAGCGGCTGTTCAAACTGTTGCAATTCTCCGAATTCTCCCGAGTAGTGCACGACTTTACACGAGTGAATAAAGTGAATGTGATTGGTCGTTTATAAAAAGGGGCAGGATTGTTGTGGCGGAAGGTTCGCAAGCTTTAAATATGATTTCCCTACAACTCCAAATCTCATGTAGCATCTTTTAAATTCAGTTTTAGATTCAAATACACCCTTCTCTATTTAGCACATTTTCCCGTTATAATCCATAATCCCAGCAGTCATGTTGGTTTCGATATTGCAGTCATTTTCTCCAATAAGGATTATTATAGAGCAGAGGTCTTCAACAGAGAGTCCACTACCACTAGGGGAAAGGTCACAGATTAGTGGACCGCGGTCCAGATCCGAACCCACCTGCTGGCTAATCAGGACTCAACCTGATTTAAAACATTTATGAATTACCACATGTTGTCTAAACGTCACTTGCGGCGCTTCTCCTGTTACCCCGAAATCCCACATCCTCCGTCTCCGCCCCGCAGCGCTCCAGACCGCCTCCGCAAAGCAAAGCCTACAGCCTCCGCTGTAGGCGTATTTTTTTTTTTTTTTACAGTTTTGGCATAATTATTGCTCTAAGTGGGTTGCTCTTTCAGTCAACGGCATGTATTAAAATCTGTGTATCGACAGTTATTGGTTTACTAACTAAATTAAATGATGACTATTTTTATAATCAGTTAATTAGGATTATTCTGGTTGTACCACTAGTGCTATCCTGTTGTAGATATTCAAGATAGATGCTGTAGACATTCTACACCTATATAAACAGAGAAGAACTTTCTATCATTGCCTTAATAATTCAAATAATCCCTTTTTTGTTGTTTGTTTTTTTTAAAAGCCGCATTTAAGAAGCCAAAGAGGAACTAGGCTTGGATCTTAACATGTGTACTCTACTGTATGCTGCCTCTGTCCATTCTGCTTTTTCCTCCTCTTCCTTGTTCCTGCACGCGCTCCCTGAAGACTTTTTCCATTTCAGTGTGTGACAGATAATTAGAGCTGGAGTTGACGCACACAGTTGTCATTATCATTAGATTACAGAGCAATCCTGTTCCTTTCCATTTCTGTGTAGTGTCTCATTTGTCTGTTTGTACTGGTCATCCACTCTGCCTGTCTTTCTGGTGATGCCCATTTTTTTCGCTACCAGTCGCCTTAAATCAGTTGCTGAACTGTTGCATTATGGGCCAAATATTAATTTGCTATTGCATACAGCTTCTTCAACATTTGTGTTGATGCAATTTTTGCCATTCAGTGCCTAAGATCAAAAACAATAAAATCATTAAAAAAATTTTTTACTAAATGCATTATCTGGTGAACACTAAAAGAAAACTTTCACCGTACGAATTTCTATCATTTTAATCAGGTTTGGTAAAGAAAAATGTTGAAAAGATATTTACAGAAGGTATAATAAGGAATTTAGCTCCAATACACAGACTATAGAAAGTAATGGCTTTACATAAAGGTGAATTCACACTATATGGTGTTTTTAAAAAGAAAATTACATAACTCAGTAGTTCCCTCTGGTTGCATACTAAATTTTACTGAAACGTATTATGTCATGCTATTGTGTATTGTTAGTTATTAGTCAGTTTAGCCAATTTTAGTCATTAACCTTCTTTTTTACTAATTCACCTATGAAATAATGCCTTTAACGTACATATACTACAACAACAATAAAGGTAAGATACTGTGTATTTTAGGGTGACCAGACGTCTTTTTCTGACATTTCCTACTTTTCATACCTAAAAAAATGTCCTGGGGGGATTTCAAAATCGTCTGGGATTTTGGTCGACTACAGTGCAGCACGTAGTCGAAACACACCGGGCACCGAACTGAGCCATCAGCTCCTGAGCTGCTCCGGATCCGGAGCCAGCGGGGGACGGAGCGACCGAACCCGACACAGTGATGGTAGGTGTGGCCCCTGTGCTTTCCTCCACCTGCCTTACCGGGGAAGCATACCGTCACCGGGTCGGGTTCGGTCGCTCCGTCCCCGGCTGGCTCCAGAATGGCCGCCCTCTAGGGGAGTCGGCTTCGCCACTGACAGCATACATGAGGCATCTATGTATATAATGTTTATGAATCCCTAGAGGAGAGCCTGGTTTACTGATGTACAGGCAACTCTGAATGTTTTGTAGGTAACATTATTACAACATGGGTTAATGAATAAATAGCATGATAGTGATACCAGTGAGACAGGTTGGCCCTATATTTTTGCTGTGTATGCTGAATGGAGACCCTCTAAAGATGTGTTATCATGTGTTACCTGTGTCACATTTTATAGATGTTGGAGATCGGCCTGTTTTTCAGAGTAGTCCTATTTCTCTGACTGTGAATGTGCTCTCTTCATCCTCTGACATGGGAGTTGGCTCGGAGCTCGTCTGCCTGGCTGTGTGTTTCCTGTATGGGGCCGCCTTTAACAGTTGCTTTTTGTATCTCTGCTTCTGTCTCCTTGAACCCAGTCGGCCTCAGCAGATGGCCGCTCACACTGAGCCTGATTCTGCTGGAGGTTTCCTCCTGTTAAAAGGGAGTTCTTCCTCTCCACTGTCGCTACAAGCATGCTTAGTGTGAGGGATTGTATTTGAGTCAATGAGTCGATGCAATCAACTGGTTTTCCTTAGATAGAAAACTTTTAATCAATTTGACTATGATCTGGTTGAACTCTATAGTACCTTGAGATGACTTGTGTCGTGAATTGGCGCTATAGAAATAAACTGAATTGAACTGTTAGCTCAAGGCTAATAGGACATGGGGGTTAAAGGGGTGAAACAATGTGGAGCAGACTATTTATGTTTTGAGTAATGAGTTATTTTGTGTTTATCTTTTACTTGAATTTACATTTGGCCAGGGTGATTTTAAAGGAAAGTAAACCCGTCTCCCGTTCTGTGAATGCCAGGAAGAAAACCTGTTGCACTGATGTACAGAGATGTGTGAATGTTTTGCAGAAAATAATAACCACAAAATACCCCTGGATGCTGTGTCTCTGTTTATGTTTGTTTGGAACCAAAATGTACTTATTCTTTGATGATAGAAGGGTCTGTGGAGGATTCACCATATATAATTCAATTTGATTTGAACTATTATCTAATCCTCAACCTTTAACTAGATAAAAAAGTTCTACTCTTTGAGAAATCTGTGGTCAAATAGGGGTTTACTTCTTTATCGCAGACGGCACTGGTCTTTAAAACTCTGATACTTTTCCGCCTTACTATAATGTACTAAAAAACCTATTCAACATTGGTTATTTCACCTAAAGGTAAGCTTAATATATAATTTAAGGATGGAAAAAAATAAAATATAAAAATAAAAATCTATGCTGCACTGGGAGCCATTTATTAATTTTGTCTGAATAAGACACATTTGTTATTGATTTTCTCTTGTAACTTGGTGTTAATTAACCCGTTTATGAATCTAGATAAAGTGGTGTTTAACGTATTTTCTAATGAAGCATACCCATACATTTATTGTTAATTGACTGATAAATTAAAAAGTAAATTCTATTTTTTTATTTAAATCAAACTTAGGTTATATAAAAAATTAAAATAAAAACTTTTTTCCTTTCTTGTTTTGCTCTTTCCTTTCATTTCTATTCTATAGATCAAGCAGTTAAACCTCCCAGTGTTTTACACCAATATAACCGCTTTCATTTTCAGTCTCTGTGCTCCTCCGTTACGCAGGTTTTGTCTCCATCTCTTCTGGATGGCAGTCTGTGTAATTGCGTTGTCTGTAATAATTTGGTTTCACACAGATTCCCCAGAAGAGTAAAATGTTCTCTCACCCGAATGATTCCCAGCAGACATCTTCACTCCCCTTTCCTCACACTCTGCCTCATCGTCCTCCCTTTCTGTCAATCCTAACATGTTTTTGTCTTCCTTTCACTCCTCATCACTTCTTCATTAAACTTCATCTTCCCCATCCTCCCTGGAGAGAACTAAAATGGAAAATTCTAATTGTGTACATTTATATTCAGATAAAAACCTCAACCTCTGTAAAACCAGGAGACAAATATGAAGACAGCAGGACTTTTCTTCCCGTTAATCCTGGCAGAAGCTACTGATATGTTTTGTGGATTAAATGAGAGTTTAATGTAAACCTATTGTAGTGTTATATTTTTTATTTTATTTTTGAGGACAGGATTTTATATTTTGCCTATTTGCTTTGTCTTCCCTTAAATAAAAATTCAGTGCAAGCAATTACCTTAAGTTTTCCCCTAGCCTGTAAGTGATCCACTTGTGTGTAATTAAATCTGTATATATGTGCTGCTGCTTTAAAAAGAGACACAGCATATATGTCAGAATGATGTGCAGGCGTTAAGTTTACTGTTCAGAAAAGAGTATCCAAGGTTTGAACATCTTTTTTAGAAGCAGACGAGGTTGTCATGGTAACTCTGAGGAGCTGATGGCCGTAGACTTCTTAGTTTAATGACGGGCTTGGACTGAAATTGTTCAGCTGCTGTATGGAGTGAATTTTGGTCCATTATTGTTGCAAACAAAGAACATATTTTGTTAAATAGAAATTTTAAGGAAAAAAATGCAATCCAGAAATATCACTGAACGTTTTTTTTAGGTGTCTTTACAGTTTTCTCAAATTTCATGTTTTCAAATTATCTTCAATTTTTACCATATTAAATCTTTTTTGAATTACATTTTTTTTTCACTTTAAGCCCG